CTGGCGTTCTCATCAGATTTTACAGATGTAGGTGCCCAGAGAACACCGTCATCAGATTCTACCGGTGTAGGTACCCTGAGAACACCGTACACCATAGCAGCCGCCATGGCTCCAAGAATAGGGCCTGCAGTATAGACCCAAATGTTCTTATAAATACCAGTGACAGTAGCAGGGCCAAAACTTCTGGCAGGGTTCATAGAAGCTCCAGTGATTGGCCTGCAGATTCCAATGCATCAAAAAATGTCACAAAACTTCGCAGACTAATGCTATAACAATGAAGGTAAAATGCAGAGCTATGGTAATAAATCAGTTATTAGATTATTACTGAGGAGTTAATTACCCAGCAACCATAACAGTAAACACAACAGCAGCACCTATAGCAATTCCAGAGATATTTTTGCTCTGTTTTTGACAGTCAAGCATATAGGGTTAGTATTTTCTTACACCAAAATGAAAGGGAGAAAATGAACTTGTTGGGGTTATCAAAACATATTTTTGGGTGGGTTGATGAAATTCTATAATTCAAAGCCTACAAAGTAGATGATTTTACCGCTCTGTCATCAGTAGCAACACCACAAATGGTGAACATCAATATAAAAGTGCTTATAAATTCCCAGGTGAGGGCTTGTATGTAAGTTGTTGAATAAGAGAACTGAGTCACGGTTGCTTGAATGTTGTTTTGGTCGTTAAACAACAGCCTCAGGGTCAGGCTTGCTAGGGTTGCTCCCGACAACTGTGACATGATATACAGAGGTACCTACACAACAATACAAAGCATATTTTAACCAAGTTGCAATTGAAATGTTTAGAGACACCCTTAAATAATTTTGGGTTTCTTTAAAAGACTTATCCGTTTACATATCCAATAAAAAATTAGAAAACTAACATGTTATTACCATGTTAAGGCCGTGTTATAGTCAAGATCGAGTCGTAGATGTAAGTTAAGATGAGAACATGAGACATCGATTCACATATTGATCTTTTCCTTTTCAGAACAAGTTAGTTTACCAAGTTTTTAAGAGAAGGAAAGGGTAAGCATTTTATATTAAATGTTATAAACAAGTTATTTCATGAAGAAACCCTCAAACTTTGGTGTTAGTGTCTCACATGTTTGCATGGAAATCTGCGGCCAGCAGCCAAGGCAATGGTAACTGCAGGGTTGAAATGGGCACCAGAGACATGCCCAACTGCATATGCAGTGGCCGTAAAAGCAAGACCCCATGCAAGTGCTATGCCCACAATTGTAAGAGACTGTATATTGTTGACAAGAGCAGCCCCACAGCCAATAAATATGAGAATGTATGTGCCTACAAGCTCTGCCATCATCTATTCACACAAACAAAGACATCCCAGATGGTGAAAATGGGAATTAAAACTCTTGGTTAGTAGATGATCACAATAATTATGGCCGTGAAAGCCAACGATCTTTTGGCCTAGTGACATTCAGTCTCCACTTTCACGGACAATAATTGTTGAATCAAACGAAAGATTTAACCACGAAAATGGATGTATTATCAATTACCTTTTGGAAGAGTGAAGCAGAAATTTCAGCCTTAACGGTACGTTTCTTCTGAGTACCAGTTGCCCCTGCTTCTTGCACAGCAGTGTGTCCAGTGGACAAGACAAGTTTAGGGGAAGAAATTGAAAATGAATTAGACATTGCAAAAAGTAAGTGAGCTTGAGCTTGATGGCCACCTCTAGCAAACACTTACATATATATGCAGTATTTCTTGCATTAAAAAAAGGAGTTTGTCTGCACTGTCACAAGGATATTTTCCATATATGTTATGGAATTTTATATATCATACTTTCTTGCCATGAATTGTTTTGGTTTGTAGTTGTGCATAATTTATTGAAGCCGGACTAAATATCTTTTTTCTTGTTTGTTTTTGGAAGTTGATTTGAATAGCATACGTTTTTAGTATTTTGGAATCATTTTGGTGGTATCAGAACTAGTAAACTTCATGCGGGGCTTCCATCTGTCGATTACAAAAGTATCTGTCATGTTCAAGAACTAGGTCAAATGCAACAGTGAATGGCTCATATCAGTATCAGCTAGCAAGTTAACAAAAAGAGAAAAAAGAGAAGAAAGTTAGATTTTTTTTT